ATTGTAAAAGAAAATCACTTCTTAAAAATCCGGAAACAACTAAGGGCTTATATCATTCAGAAGGTGATGTCAAAGTTATTATTATTTTTTTCAACATAACAGTAAAATACATATTAGTGAAACTTGAAAGAGTTTATGTTCATGATAGTGATTTTGTACATAGTATTTGTATGTCATGAAATTGTTGCTAGTGGTCAAATTGAAACAATATTAAAACTTCAATAACAAGATTGACAAAAAAACAAATTGAATTACTAAAATGAAATTTTCTGCTCAAAGTTAAATGGCTCTATACTCTATTATTTTTCTAAGGGGTCTAAGAAATTATTTTTGACGTCAACTTTTTGAATTTTGATTAATTGTACAAAAAAAAAATAAAAAATGGTTGAACTCTGACTTATCCAGACTTCTGAAATCATTTAATGTTAATTGAGCGGATATTTGCCTAATTTAATATAGATATGTACTAATTGTATGAAAATTCTCGATCGGATGCATTTAGGGTGAAGAAAGACAATTTGAAGTGTAATTAGAATTTATTCAGCCCAATTGATGATCAATTGAATCGTACGAGATCATTATGTAGCATTAATAGCACGATAGAGAAGATTCACAAGTTTTGAGAGCTATATCAACATTTAGAAAGTTCGGGGACTCGATCACCAACTCTCGGAACTTTTATCAGATCAACTACAAATTATTATGGAATGGGGATGATCAAAATTTAAAGAAATAAAGATAAAGGATTCAAGTTGCAAGTTGAAAAGGTCTCAAATTGAACAAAAGAAAAAATTCAGGGACCAAGTTGAATGGGAACAAATTATGATTGCAAGGTAAGGCGAAATTGATCCTGCAAGTTGGCATGTGTGATCGCAACTCTTTAGCCCGTGCAATCGCATGGGTCAATTTCGACAAAAAAGATTTAATTTCTATTCTAATTCAATGTCTTCTTGAAAAGCCCCAATTTTGACCTAATTTTTGGACCATGTTGCATATATCTACAATTCAAGATTGAATTGTACAGAGGACTTGAGTACACAAATAAATATATCATTAAAAAGGAAGCTAAAGGAGCTTCCTTTTTTCATATTAAAAGAGATGCTCTTAGATGGTAAAAGAGAAGCTTGAGTACATGAAAAACACATAATTCAATAGAGAAAGAGATGCTCTTAGCTGGTAAAAGAGAAGCTTGAGTACATGAAAAACACATAATTCAATAGAGAAAGAGATGCTCTTTGACATTAAAAGACATCCTTTATTAGCTTTGATTAGCTTTTGATATAAAATACCCATTTTACATTAATTTCATATATCTTAGCTTGGATTGAAGAAGAAGAATAAGATATTCAAGGAGATAATTATAGAACCATTGAAGTGATTCAACATTGTTTTTTATGCTTTCTTCCCAATCTTTAATTTTAGGGAGTGTCGTACTCGATTCAATTCGTGTTTTTGTATAATTATGATGCTAGGATAATGATGAAAAGTAAGTTTTGATGTTTTTATAAATGTTAAATTGATAATTTTGACATTTAAATATTTGTTTTATTTCTAATGCTTGTTATGATCTTCATATTTTCAATTACTTGATCATTAATTGAATTGATGTGTAATTTCTATTGTCATTTGGACCCAAAAAAAAAAAGAAAAAAAAGAAGAAGGAAAGATAGCACATTTACCAATCATTGTAAAGTCCTATATATATATGTTAAAATAATAATAATAATTGTCTATACTTTGTATGATTCATTGGATTTTCTTGTGATTTTATACATTTTCATTCATTCGCATTCGGGTCAAGAATATTTCGGATCATATGTGAGAATATATTTAATTTTACTTGGGAGATATTATTATATAAAATAGAAACATCAATCTTCGACTTTAGTGTTTCAAAAAAAATATGAATGAATATACGGAGATTCGAAGTTTTATTGCTATAAATGAATTGAGTTTCGTAAACACTTCCCAATCAGTTAGGTTAGTTAGTTAGTTTTAGGTTTAATTTAGCATAAATACTTGGTTATTCAGAAACTAGATTAAATACTTAGTTCTCTTGTAATAAATACTTGGACTCGTTCATTTTATTACTTGTTTACAATACACTCAACTTGTGGAATTTTAACGCAACAAAATGTTTTCCTACTATATAAAAAGGAGAATGTGAAATTACTGTGAAAATTAACAGTGAATTGTTCCATTTTATCTTACTGTAGCAATTTTTTTTTTT